GAAAGTTAGGCTTAAAAGAAATGTGACTTAATCACATTTCTTTTTCTTTTTTTTTTTTAAAGAAACAACTCTTTTGTTCCTCTACTACTGTCTGAAATAATTTTCACATATAGGAGATGTTTCACAGTGGGTACGAAGTGCTCAGCTTTCACTCATCAAACTTTAATCGGAACTGCATTTTAGTTTTTGAATAAAGAACACTTAAAAAATTTAGATGCAAATTATTTTGCATTATTCATGCTGTAAGTGTCCTTGCAGATTTAAACACTTCTGAGGCCACCTTGATTCAAGTAATTACCTAGGCCCTCACTGCTCTGTCATGAATAAGGTATTTTGTACAAGTAAAGTATGCACCCGATGAGCTTTTAAAGTGGCTTTACACTGAACTTGGGTATTGCTTCTTGTGCATGAGTGAGCTGAACATGCATCGCAATCTGTCTCAGGTGGGAAACCCTGGCTGGGCATCCATGGGTGACGGGATGAAACCTGAGCGTCTCCCTCCACACACATGCTCTGCTTTTGTCTCTTCTTAAGAATCTCAAAGTGATTCAAGTAGCTGTTTTGAGAATGGAATAAAGCAATAGATTCTAGGAAAAGAAACCAGGGGGAAAGTGGCAGTAATTCTCCTTAACCCTCCCATCACCACTGTTCATGGAAAATGTCCATCTTTCAGGCCACCTCATCTCCATCAGCAAAGTCTTCCATGTAAAGTAAGAAGTCTCTGATTTTCTGTGGTTCTGTACATCTGCCTCCCCATCTGTCAGCCTAGCCTCCTGAGCCAGTGTAAATAGGTGCTACCTCCGCCCCAGTATTCTTCCTAAAATGTAACTGGCTTCAAAATCAAAAGCAACTGAAGAATGCTTTACAATGGAATGAAAGTGACCACAGAGCATAAATCTGCAGGTACACACACACACACACACAGGAGGGTTTGGAAGAGTTAAATGTAATTGGCTGAAGTTTGTAGCTGGCGTTTGTTACAAAGTGCCCAAACCTTTCCTTTCCAACTCCGTGGCTTTGAAGAATTATAGGAATTTTATGATGTGCTATTGGAGTTACACTGGCAGAGATTACAGAAAAGGGGTTAAAGTTGGTTTATGGTAGAAAAAAATTATGCAGAAACCAATAAAAATAAACACACTCAAGTAGACTAAACTTGCTGGGCTTTTAGTTTTAGTTTAACAAAGGAAGTTTAGATGAAAGTAAATGTTGCAGCTTTTAGAAAATTAGTTGACACTCATACTTGATCATCTTTACTACACAGCGGTATAATTAATATTTAAACATTCTAATAATGCAGCTTGCTTTGCATGCACTTTTCAGACTCACAACAATATATTTTATCTGGAATTGTGCTAGCATTTTCTTGGGTACTGCCCATTTTCATAGAGTTAAATTTAAAATAGAGTAGGGCCTTAGCTCTTATGGCCAGTAAAACATCAATAGGAGAGTGTACAGGTTTTATACATCTACTAGACAGTTTATTAAGACCAGATAATGGATAAAATATAAATTTTGTTTCTTTCCCCCCTGTGAATGCTTTTAAATGATCTGAGTAGATTAAGTTTGAAAGATACATTTGGCTCTTGTCCACTCACCTCTAAATGTACAAAACAGGAGAATTTTGACCATGTAAAGGTGGTGTGAAATCTGCAAGCACTACTTGAAAATACTGAATCCCTGAGGGCTGCCCATTCATTAGGACATTCAATTAACTTAATGAGGAATTTTTACTTTCACTATATGAAATTGCTGAATTTGGTAGGATCATTTGAATTGGGATACCTGAATGCCCAGGAACTTGGTAAAACAATAAAGCTAGTGGAGTGTAGAGTAGAATGTAGAATGTAGAGAAGTAAGCCAATTGGGAGAACACTGAGCTGGTTTATTTTCCTTTGAGAACTTTCTTCCTGTCCCAGTCCCAGACTGTAGGTGGTAGGGAAAAGTTTTTTCAGGTGCTGCCCTCAGCTCGGTCCCTTTGAAGAGCGCAAGGTGCCTGGTGATCTTGATCTTCTTTTAGTTTGAGTGGTGAGAAAGAGCATTCTACTTCCCGTCATAACTTAAGTGTCCTTTAGTTGAAGCAGAATTTGCATGTGCATATTTACTCCTCATTCTTTATAAGTGAGTAGGTGTGCTAAGCTGCAAGTCTATTTTGAGATTCAGCCCACGTTAACCCCTTGAGGCCCACTTCATGATAGGTACTGCCCTGTGGGAATCCTGTCATTTAGTGAAGCATGAAGCCATGATAGATCCATGGCCATACGAACACCGAGGCATTTCATTTCGCTTAATTCTGTGAGGCCTTTGGAGCTGTGCTTTGTACAAATCCAGTGATGTGAACTGCAAAATTCACAGGTTAGTTTAAAAAATAAAAAACGCAACAGAGAAAAACAGTCAGTATAAAATATTACTACAAAGGAAAACCATGTGAACTAAGTTCCACACTGAACTTAGTTCCTACAGGATGATTCTTGCGGTGGGGAACTTAGATGTCAAGAGATGGCTTACTGTGGCTATTTTATTTTCTTAGCTCAAGAGGAAGTCATTTTTACAGATTCTTGGACATGGTCATTTTCATTTCTGATCAAAGAAACCAGTAGTTTGGTGTCTTTATACTTTATTGAGTTTGAGAAAGGGAGTTAAATGAACTCATCTTACAAATAACTAACAGCCCACAGACTATTTAAAACCTGCCATTGAGGTGGTAGAGATAAGGTGAACTCAACTGCTGTCACATGCATGGGTTTGACAGATAGGTAAGTCTGAGAGTGGACAAATTAAAAGCATTTTTCATATGCTAATCTCCACCTGCACAGGAATAATTTTTTTTTAAGGCAGCCTACTGGCAGGGTAAATTCAAGAGCTATCAGTAGTATGTTACTTCTAGGAATTATGACACAAAAAATGAATAAATATTTGTATGAGAAAAGTCTGTTGTAGACTCTTAATTCCAGACAGGTATCATGACAGCAATGGGCTAGCAATATTGTGGAAAGAAAAATAACCTACAGAGATATGACTTTTAATGTGACTAGTAATTCTCTTGATATGTGATTCATTCGAAATTATATCTGATGAATTAAATTTTTAGTTGCAAATAGAGATCCAAGTGAAAGCAATACCCTACCTTGCCCTACAGGTGGTAGCTACATGTGAACTTCATAGTGAGTGTGAGAGAGAGCCTGAGATGTCAATCAGAACCTACAGATTAACCCACAGCAGTGAAATCTGAGAAGGTTTATAGCAAGTAGGTAATAGTTTCAGGCCTCTGTGAGAACGCATAAACTAAAACTTCATGCTGGGACAAAACAGGGCAGGACATTTGAGGTAGCAAGTGAGAAAACTTTATTCTTATTATGACAAAGCCTCTCTCATACTTGTTGAAATGCCACTGGGTTGTTATTAAATGCTCACCATGTCTCTAGGTTTTGTACTGTTTTACAAAAAGCTTTTGGAGTTTCCTTTAATTCTGATAAATATTCAAATTTGTGCTTAATTTCTACATTTCGGTTTTGAATGATAGAAAATTTCCCATGCTTGTTGAGTTTCCCTACAAGTAAGAAAGTACTTTTTGTAATAAAAAAGAATGTTGCTTTTCTCTTTCTCATTGTTATCAAGAGAATAAAGTTACCTTTAGGTAATAAATTTTTAAAATATTAGTTTTTTGATATCAGAAACAAAATAGTCAAAGGAAATTTTAAACATCAAATGATAATGAACCAAAAGAAATAAATGGTGGTGGTTATCTAATATAAGATCCCACATTTTTCTAGTGAAAGCCCCCCGGCTTAAAAATATAATGGTGACAGTGCTTATCAGGCTTAGAATCCTATTATATAATGATATAATAACTTTAGGCTCTATGAATTAGCTTCTAAGCTGTATTTAAAATACTGGTATCATTTATAAATACACACTTCTCTCCTAGAAGGGAAGTAGCAGAAACCAGTTTTGGTATCCATGTCTCCTTCATGTGGAAGAGAAATTAAAATAGTAATATATTTAGGCAGTAAATGAAATGCTTTGCTTTGGCTTTACTTACAGAGCACCCTGGACAACAGTCACTTCACACTTTAAATGGAACCTCAGGTCTGATGCCATGTGGCCAGGCTGCTAACATGAAGGAGAAGAGTGAGCAGCATTAATGTTCTTTGGTTGGAGAGCCCATTAGGAGGTAGATAAGGGAACAGCACAGGCGACCCACCTCCTGGCTGGGAGGAGGACAGTGCCTGGAATGTCTGCAATGTGTTTCTATTTTTGTCGCACCTATGTGTGGCCACCCATCTGGTCTGAATCAATCAGTCTCATCCCAGGGCCCTGTTCCCCTACCAGCTGAAATAATCCCCTCTCTCCCCCAGTTCTCTGCCTTCAGGAGGGGCCTTGCTCACCGTTGCCTGGGCAAGGCCTTAAAGAAGACTGCATGCTTGTCAACATTGGTGAACCCCATTTGGGGCATCAGGAAGAACCTAATTTTTTAAATCGATATTTTATAGATAAACTCTGCTCTCCTAGAAACAGAAAAGTGGATGAATCATCTGAGAAATATTTGACCACAGAAAGACAAAGAATAATACAACACCATTTTATATACACATCCTCCTCCTCCTTGATGCTGGAGATCAAACTCAGGACCTTGGTCAAATACTCTAACCCCGACCTACGCCCCAAACCCCTACATCTTAATTTTTAAAAATTGCTTTGAGTTTAATTTAAACCATGAATCAACGTGCTGCTATTTATGTCTGCAGCAGATAAAGCCAGGGTATGAGAAAATGGCCATGACTTAGCCCAAAGTGGTTTATCACTCAGTTCTTTCTGCTCCATGCTTCAAGAACTAACGTTCATTGTCCCTAGACCTCTGTATCAACCCTCCACCTCCTTATTCTAGACTCTTTTCCTGGTATTCCTCATGTAACATACTGTTCTTTACCAATCCAGCTTTCTTGCTGCTCCCATTAAATTTCTACACTCCCGACCGCCTCTTGCTGGATAATCCTACTCCTAGACCTCTGATCTATTGAAAGCCAAGGTGTTTACCAGTTAAACTAGCCAGGCTTTAGGATCACCATACCACTGTTCCCACAAGAGACCAAACCTACTGACACTGGTTTGGCAAATTAAGTAACATGACATAAAACTACTTATTTTCCCTATCTGCCTAGTTTTCCACTGCAGTGGGAAATACCACCCTATCATAGACCTCCCGGCCAGGAACCCCATAGTTATTTTTGTCTCACCACTGTCTTTCTCATTCCCCACATCCAGTCTGTTACCAAGCATTGCCACTTTTTCTTTGCCAACATTTCCTGAATCCACCCCCTTGTTTTTTATTCTCTTAGTTGTGGTCTTATGTCTAGGCTTTGGCCTTGGCCCACTGGGACTTAGCAGCCTTCTTTCCCCTTTCTTTCTACATGTGTGTGTCAAACTCCAACTTGCTTTAGTAGCATTGATTAGCTTTTTTCTCTTCTCTATGTCTTTGACTGGTACATCCATTCTCTTTGGGCTCCACTGACCCTGCTCTCTGGACTGGATTCTAGTGTTCCCTTTACACATCTCACTTTTTCACCAAACTACCTAATTGTTCTAATCCTCTTTTCAGAGCTCAGTCCACCTGTTTCTTCTTTATTAATTCATTCTGTTCTGCTTCAGAAACTTTTCCATGCAATACAGGTTCCCGATACACATTCCTAGCTGGAAGATCCTGAAACCTTTTTCCCTTTCCTTCCATCTGTCCCTCCTGATGTAGCAAAGTATAGTCACTGTAATCAAGTCTAAGTTAAAAACATCCAGCTTCACTATTTGCCACCAATGATCCTGGGCAATTATTTAATGTTTCCTCACCTCAGTTTCCTCATCTGTAGAGTGGATTATTGTGAAGAACAAATACGATGATTTATTTGGAACACTGCTGGTGCATAGTTAGCCCCTTTTAAATGTCTGCTGTCATTATTTATCACATCTCAAAGGACAGCTGACCAATCACTTCCTTGCCTTCAAGTCACCTTCACACCATGTGCTTATTTTTTATCCTGGCATGTAAATTTTGATAACACAGTTGGGTTTTTTTAATCTGGTTCTAACAGTAGCTAATGTTTAGATATCAGGACAAAGTTAATTGAACATACCTTCTATGTTTTTGAGTGGCTGATAGAATGAATAAATTATTGACCAAGGTAAGTCCTTCACTCAGTGTATATACAAAAAGGACTAAGAGACCCTTTCTTTGCACAGGTTAGCAAATCTGTAAGAAAGGATATGCTTAAGTGGCCCTTAAAAATGAGTAGCTTGCACCAAGTGGGTCAGGAGAGAAATGGTCCAGGTAATGATAAAAATGTAAATGATTTTTTTTGAGGAAGATTTTGAAGAAGGTGATGGTAGTGGTGGTAGTAATGGTGATGATGACAGCATGTTCAAATTATCCTTTGCCTTAAGACTAGTTTAAGCCTCCAGGAAGGATACAGTATTCCTCTTCAAATAGATTTTTCCCCCCATTATGTGGAAGCATGTTATGCCTAAGAAAATATATGGTGCAGTATGCATGAGATTTATTTCTCAGCAGAGATACGGTAAGAATTTTAAGTGTTCTATATACTTATTCAGATCTCACATCAGGAGATAAAACAAATGAAAACTCTGACTTGTTAATAATTTACATTTTAGTGGGAAATTTGTACATGCTGTTAAGATACCTCTAAGACCCAATCCAGAAAATGCAAATAACTTACATCCACTGTGCACTGCTGACAGAATTTGAGAAGAAAACAACATCAATTAAAAAAAAAAAAAACCCAATGTTTTCAAGGGAAGACTGACCATATTTAGATGGCTCTAATTATACTTCTTGATACCAGATGACTCTTTTGAAGCATTCGTGTTGATATAGATGACCTCTCCCTTCACCAGGTGTTTCTTGCAGAAAAATCACAGGGCTACCTCACCTCCTAGGAGTGGCTTACTTACTGGGGATTTCTTTTCAGAAAACCACACCATTACTTTTCTCTAACAGCTTATGCAAAAGTTTTATGGGGGAGGGAAAAGTCCAAGCCAGAGAGAGAGAGAGAGAGAGAGAGAGAGAGAAGTGTGCATGACAATAACTACCTCTGTCCTTTTGCTTTTTGTTCTTTTCATGTCACAGAACTTTAGCTGGGCTGCCTGGGTAACTGCTCTGGAAGGTTGGAATATCTGTTGAGGAAGGCGGTCTGTGATTGAGGGTCCTCTGACACCACCTTTTGTTGCATTGAGGTGTTTGATCCTCTTTCCCTTTCTTCTAAAACCAATCCCATCCCTTTAAAAAATGGATAACCAGCACTTCTTTTACTTATTGTCAGCTTTTGGAAAGTTACTGTGGGGGTTTGTAGAAGTTTAACTAGTTAACTCTTTGTGTGCTGATGTGGTACTGCTGCAGAATAGCCTTCTTTCTCAACAGGAAGGATTTTAATCACTTCTATCAGGTAACTGCTGCTGTTACACAGACAGAGCAAGGGAGGCATGTGAAGGTCCAGAAACAGTGTTTGCATTCAAGGTCTTTCCGTGTGAGAGTTATTTAGGCTTTGAAATGGGACACATCCTAATTTTCTTTTTGTCCTAGAACTGAAACATGTGAGAAGTACAACTCTGCCATTTGAAAAAAAAAAAAATGACAGGATATGCTAATTTGTGGTTCAAGAATAACAAAGTAAATGGAAAGGATGACTTAAAAACTGAGAGGGATAACTGCATAGCAACAAAGGAAAGGAATGAAAAGTGCAGGGATCTTGTTCCAGTCTGCCAACAAAGTGCTGGAATATTTTTTCCCCAAAGAAGGGACACAACTCAGAGTATAGGAGAGAAAAGAAGCTTAAGTGGATTATTTGACAAAAAAGAAAAGCAACTTATGGCTTCTAGATTGTGACCTACATTCTGCACATAACAATGATGTTCTATGGTGGTGATAGGGTTAATAACCTAACATCATTCATGTAGTGTTTTTTGAAAATTGAATTTTACTGCTACAAAGTAAATGTAACAGCCCTCTGGAGACAATATTACAGGCACTTTATTGTTTGCTAAGCTGATGTCATTTTTCTACAGACTGACTTTAAAACAAAGGCAGAACATTTATTACAAATATCACTGTGTGAAAGGAAATCTACTGAAATATTGTTTAGAAGGTGAGCTGATAAAAAGAAGTATTAATACTTGACTTTGATCATCTTACACTGTGAAGTTATGACTTCAAAATACTTTTCATGTGATCTCTATTCAAGGCAAACTTCATCCTGGAAATTTCTAACAAGGATGCTAACATGAATTGCCCTCAAGTTGGAATATTTGTTTAAACTTCATGCCTGTTTTAAATACATTTTTACTCTCCAAGGCAATTTCTTAACAAAGTTGATGAGATTGTGAGACAGAGAGATTAAATAGCATCTTTCAAGGATGATGTATGTATGATTTAAGAAACAAAGTATGGAGACTAAGCTGTTTAGTTTCTATAATGAACTTTGAAAATCACCTGTGAGTAGTGACTGCAAAGTTTGCAATTTAAATAAGCTGTTTGAGGCTCTGCCAAGCAAGCATTCTGCATCACAGGTTGCTTGCAACTCAGAGTTTGGTCTCTGTATCTGATGCACGTGTAATACACCGTGAAGCTGTCTGTGGATCACACAGGAGGTTCTTAGAGCTTCATTTCCACACCGTAGCCCTTGAAAATGTATCAAATGAGCAGGCATGTTTGGCTCTTCCTTACAAGGCACAAGTAATTTGTTTGTAAATCAGTTACCTTTCAAGAAAAGTTAAATTAGGGGGAACTCTGGTTTCTTTGATGTTTTCCCACTTAGAAAGCCAAAGAGCAAATTAATGATCATTTTGAAGTAATAATGATAATGAGGAAAATATAATTTACTGAGCTACAATATCTCAAAATAACTTCTCAGGTATGGCATATAAATAACAGCTCCAAAGACTGAGCTTGCTTGATGATTTTTTCTAAGAAAATGATTTACTTCTCTGGCTTTGTCTCTGAAGTCTGGCTGGAAGGAAAACACAGGTCAAGGAAATTGGGTTAGGGGAAAAAAGCCTGTTATGGTGAAGGTGCAGAATCATAGGAATGGTGTCTACCAGGGAGTCTTCCAGGCACTCAGAGATTAGTAGGCTGCATTCTCTGGAGTGTTTGTGAATGCTCAGTACTGATGGCATTCATGTCAGTCAGAAATGAATCTGGGTACAGTCACTTGTCATGCTCTAGGAAGGCACTATGTCAGTGCTGTATGGGGTGGTATCAGAGAGAAAGCTACCATACTGTGATTAAGGATTAAACCAGGAATGGAAATGCAACATTTTAAAAACTTATTTTGCTAATGGGAAAATCATTTTTAAAGCTTACAATTATTTGAAACCTTTTACTATGAACCATTATTTGTCATGTGCCTGTACTGCAGTAGCACCAAAGGTCCCAGGGTGAGTCCCACAGTCTCACAGATCAGAATCACAAAGAACCACTTGGCAAGACTCAGATCCTGACACATTGTACATTATTCAAGAGATGTTTGTTGAGTGACTGAGAGAATGAAATGGAGTGGTGCTCAAGGTAAGCCCTTTTTTCAGTGTATGTACAAAGAAGAACTAAGACATCCTTTCTTTGAAAAGGTTAGCAAAGCTGTAAGAAAGGCCTTTAAAAAAATGAGTAGTTATCACCAGCTGAGTAAGGAGAGGGATGATCCACTGGTGGTAAGAACAGCAACCCAGAATAAGGTATGATTTTTGTTACAACCTAGTTCTCTCTCTGTCTCTCTCTCTCTCTCTCTCTCTCTCTCTCTCTCTCTCACACACACACACACACACACACACTCACACACTCATGCAATGTTCACTCATCCCACCACTGGAATTTGTGTGTTCACATCTACACATTTCACTCATCCTCTGAAAGGAGAGGCATGGTGTGCCAGTTCCTCAGATTTATGCATGAAACTCACACATCAGTTGTCCTCTAAGAGAGCTCATTTTTGACTGAACACTGTTCTTAACATGTGACCCATAAGAAAGGAAAGGAGGAAAGTTAATGTCTAAACCACCCACAATAAGGAAAGGACTTCTCAAACATCAAGATGAAACTGTTCTATCAAATTATTAAAGTTACTTTTTAATTTCCAACTTAGCAAGAAGTCTTGTGATTGTGACACTCCACACAGGACAGTTTGGGACAGTTCCAACTGTATGAGGCCTGTGTCATTGCTTCCATAAATAGAATCAAGCTTCCTTTCTTCCTCAGCTCTATATTTCCTTGCTTTGATTCCCTCTTTTGCTTTCTCTCCTGGCAGGCCTTTCCCCTCTCTTCCATCAGCGCTCCATAGGCAGATGTGCCTCTGATTCTATTTGATAGAACCACTCCCCCACCCCCATCTTCCAAACTTCTCCCCTTTGAAGTCTCTATTATCAATACAATCACTTTTGTTTCCCTTTCCTTCCCTCTCTCACTGATCAGGCTTCTTCTCTCCCTAACCCCATTAGTTACATCTCCTGCCCCCACCACTCAGACGCATGCTAAGTCGCAATGCACTTGACATAACTTGGGTTTGTCTGCTAAATACTCAGTCAGTTGTCACTGCTATCTTCTGATTTGTAGGAAAGTGGGCAGGAGGGAGTAAGCTGACTCAAAACTCTAAACAATTCAGCTTTGCCCAATGAGCCCAACTAAAATAGGAAATTGACCACTAATGATAATGAAAGAAATGGGTTTTAGTTAAGAGTATAAATCCTGCAAACTTGGTTCCTGATGCCTGTGGTAAATACTGTGTCTTTCATATGGTGGTCAGATGGTGCAGAGAATCTAGAGATGGATGAATGAAGGGAGGTGTATAAATAATTGCAATTTTTATTAGTCAACGGGGATTCTTTCTCTGGAGTTCATTAACGGACATTTTAAGGAATCTGTGAACCACACAAAATTGCATCTTTTGTAGTGTTTTGTACATTGATGGATTTTTCTGGGCAATGGGTCCATATATTTAATCAGACTCTGAAAAAGTCTATGGCTCTCAACCCCACCAAAGGGGGAAAAAAATCACTGCTGTAAGTGAAGACACCTATTTTGTCTATTTTCCTGTGACCTGCTCTTTTTTCCCCCCAGCACATTTTAATATTCCATGTGATTTGAGCAGGCTAGAAAGTAGAAACACAGGGTTTAAAAGCAAATTTTACCTTCTTTAAAAGAAAAATATTTAAACCACCTGCCAAGCTATACAATTCACATTTTTAAAATTATTTTAGTTTTACTACAATTCAAAGACAGGCCTTTTTTTTTTTTTTAACAATGGGTATAATCACACATCTGAACATAAGAATTAGTTTTATGCAGTTCCATAGAAAACCAAAATCTTGAGGAACACTTTCAAAACAACCAGAGAAAAATAAACCATTCCTTATGTCAGTCTTGTTAGAGAGGGATTAAGAAACTGGCAATTATTTTGGCGACCTTAATTGTTGCGCGGCAGGAAAATATGTAATTAGAGCACGTTCCCAGGCCTGCACACCTGCAGCACATCCTACAGTATAATGTCAGCTTTCAGTGCCCGTCAGTGCCAGGTTCTAGCACAACCAGTCACAGTGACGCTCTGAGAACATTTCGGACTCATGTAATGTGGCTTCTGTGTATGAAAGAAGCAGGCATTTACACTACCACACAATGGAGGGCATTGCTGCAACACTGGTTTCATTATTTTCTGACGCCTACCTTCAGCTCTGCCCTGGTATACTCCGTTTGAGGTTTTATTGTTACGGTATAATAGTCCTGTACATTTTTGAAATTCCCTTATTATTCAGCTTATTAATACAGTACTGACTTGATTACCAGCTGCTGTTGCACAGCAGAAGAGTCAGTGCATTAGCTAAGTCAGAAGCTGAGTAAATTCTTGGTATAATGAGAACAATTGTTTGACTTTTTTCTACAGAAAGATGGGCTATGGTGGTTCTCTATATAGTCATATTTTGGAATTCATGCTATATTCTCTGTATGTTGTGCAGGCTTCATTTTTCATATAAAGAAAGCTTAAAATATGTCCTCACTAATTTACAGTGTTTCAGGGCATAAGAGGACTCCATTATGATTCTCATTAGTTTTTTTCTTTTTTCTTTTATTGGCTTTGCTCAACAAAAAGAAACTCTGATGTTAGGAGAAGTAGGTAGAATGAAGAAATAGTATGCAGGGTGCCTGCTTTTCAGATAACTCAGTAATCTGGCAAACTGATAGTTAACAGACTTTTCCCCCCCTAAGGGAGATACACTGTATTTTGCTATCTGACATGTTGTCATATATAAAGAAATCAATTGGTAATTAAATGATGCACCTTGTGAAGATGACAAAAGGCATTTGGTTGCGAAAAGAGAACTGGGTTTTGAGGGGTTTGTAATGAAGGCCTAATGACTATTCATAAGAGATTTTCAGTCCGTTGATCCACTTGACTGGAAAGTTCTGCCCTGGAGAGTTAGTGCTGTCAGTTTCTCTCACCTCAGAAAGCCGCTGCAATCGACGGTGTAGAGGATGAGCGAGAAATCATCTAGCTGTTGCTCTAGGCCTGTCTTAGGTCACATGCAGAAGGCACATCTGGCTTCCTGTAGGTTAAACCTCAGGACATAAACTTTGACTAATTTTTAAACCATAAATATGTACAAATGACACTGAATAAGTTACCTTTTGTTCATATTTCCTTTATTTTAGAATGCATGCAAGTGATGTGGTAAGCTGCCATTTTGGCCTTACTTTTCTTCCAAATTTAATAGTTACATCTTTGCTTGTTTGAGAGTAACTGTTTATGGAAGTTGTCAAGGACCAAGCAAAAAAAGCCTCCATTTGAAAAGTTGAGTGAGTGTACCTTTGCAGAGAATATGCCAACATCACGTGCAGGAAGGTCAACTGAAATGAGTAAAGAGAAGATTATTGTGCAGTACTCTTAGTGGGTATTTACTGCCCTATTTGAAAAAACGCTATAAGACACCAAAATTATATACATGGCATGAGACACAAGGCTCCTCCCAAATAAAGATCTCTGGAACTGCGAATATTACTGCCTTCAAAACAGACCCGTTACTGTCAACCATGGACCATGCACAGGACTAACCTTGGGGCTACAAAGGTGAGGGAAGCACAGTGTCAGTCCTCACAGTTCATTGAGAAAGAGCTATGGTTGAGTGGCGTAATAACAGAGTCTCAGCATCCAGGAATGTTTGTTTTGTTTTGTTTTATTGATTTTTCTGAGACTGGATCTTGCTATGTATCCTGGGCTGCCACAAACTGGTGATCCCTTTGGGTGCTAGGACTACAGGTTTTTGTACTGCCCTGCCCAGCAAGAATGTTTTCTAAGAACTATTGGGGTCCACAGGTGATGTAAACATTTCTTAGACATGTTGCTCTTTCCATCAGCAAAGCCATAATAGCCAGTGGGGAGGTGAGTTGGACAGGTGAGATGCTCCTGTGGAATCCAGGCACATCAACACAGTAGTAGTAGCCATCAATTTCTGTACATATTTACACTTGGAAGGTGCTTCCCCATGTTATCTTATCAAACAGCTCACCTAATCATAGGTAAACAGGTTTATCACCTCATTAAAGCTTGGTTTATGGCCACTTGAAAGTGGTGTTTGAGTTGGAAATATTTGCCAAAGTACTCATCTGGGACATCAGTAAGAGAGACACTGAAAACTACAGAGGCCTTAGGTTCTCGATATCAGGATAATTTAATTCATAAGATACATTTGAGAAGATATCACTGGTGATTCTGACTGTGCATTGTGGTTACTGGGTTTTGCTGACATGTTTGCTGGAGCTGTCAAGGTGGACCAAATGAATGGATAGATGCTAAAAAAACAATTATGCTTATTAATGTACATTGATTGCTTGTTTAGGTTATAAAACAAATTTAAAAATACATAAGTATTTAAACCCTTTTATATCTGAGCTAATGATTGCTTGTAATACAGTGTCTAGTAAAGAATATTCTATGGTACCTGTAAAGCCCAGATACGTTATCTAATTAGTAGACTTTGATTTAAGTGGCTATAATTATGGAATTGAATAGTTGCCTCTCTAAATAACAAAATGGTAGATTTAAATATATAAAGATGCTGACTTGATTATTTAATATTTGTAGCAAAGACAAACCACCCAAATAGAGAGATTAATTCCACATCAGTGCAACATTAAAAGGGAGAGAAGATGCCAAGAATCCCATTAATTTGGGATATAAGTGCCTGAAATTTCCTTGAAACATTTACACCAAAGAATACCAGTACATGACAATATCAAGCAATTCTCCCTACGAGTAAAGAGGTAAGGTAAAGATCATTTTAAATTGCACAGTATCACACGGTAAAATTGAGGACAGTGTGTTCCATCACATGCCAAGCATATACCAAGATACTAGGCTAAGTAGGCATTTTGTGTAGACATTAATTCTATTAACTCTTTCTCCATGAAGTTTTCCCTGAACATTCACTGTTTCCTTTACTGTGAACCCATATCTTAATAAAGATAGTGCTACTGGAAACCATGGCATGTCACTTGTACATCACTGTCATTCTACCATGTGTTTAAGTGAGATAACCCTGGTTCCAAGAAAGTTTCGGCATTCACTTAAATGGCTGACCTGGAGGGGAAGAGGTGGCCTCTTTTTTCTCTCTCTAAGATTTACTTTGGCTATTACTTTTGAAACGTATGTTATGTCCCCCAATTAGATCTCATTTCATCCTTCACAGACTGCTTAGAATTTCCATACTTCCTAACAAGAACTTGAGTTGAATGGGTTTTTGCAGTTTTCTGCTTCTCGCCCTATTTCTTTCCAAGGCCTTTGAGTCAGAAACATTCAGTGCCACAGTGAATAATCAGTACGATAGCCACCATTTGCTTTTCCCTTTTAACTTTTGGGAGTTACTTCCGAACATAGTTACAACTGCTCAGACGGGCTTTTTCACAAATTGTTTGCCATGGAAGTTGCTACCCTATTGGGCTTTTCATTCTGAACACATAGGCAGCAAGCATTGATGTCAGTACAACAAATAATGTGCACAATTTTTAAAAACACTAAATCTTCCAAATCCCCATATTATGTTTTCACGCTGGTCTTTCAGAAACTATGCTAATACAATACTCCTATAAACCAATCTTGGCCCTAGCAGGCCCTATTGGAACTAATGGGGCCTGACAGTTCTTCAGTTAAAAATTATACATGAGGGTCACTTTCCCTTAAATTATCTATTGTATGCCAGCTGTTCACAACTGCAGCACTTCACTTTCTTTGCATTGCTAGAAATGTCTAATTTTCTCATAATATCATAACATCTATGCTCATAGAAGCCATCCAAGTGACTTCAAGCACACCCTCACAGGAATCTCACTATAGTTTCCTTTTCCATTTTCTTTATTTTTATTCTTTTGGTTCTGAAAAATGTAGAGATGGTTCATTTTGTCTGTTTCATGCCATAGCACTTGAGTTATATCATAATTTCTCATTTGCTCCACAACTTTATTCTATTTTTATGCTCCTAAATGACGCAGCTTTAAGTACCCGTGAGTGGCACTTCCGTGCTGTGAGCACTATCAAAAGCAACCTCAGACAGATAAAACTCCTGGGTTTTTTTTGTTGTTGTTTTCTTTTTTTGCTGGGAAGACAGAAAAGGAGTCATCACCAAGGGCCTTCTTTTGTTTTTCAGGCCTATTAAAACTATAACCAATAGAACCATTAACACAAAGGAAAAATTCACCCAAGCCCTCTGTCAGAATGATGCTCTCCTCTCAAATGTTTCTCATTACCACAGAACAGTTACCTTTGGACTATAATCAAAATGAGGCTTTTTTTTTCCTTAATACCTTTTTTTCAGGATGCCCTCAGTGAGGCATTTTCCCTAAAGGTTATTGGACCTCTTTACCAACAAGTGGCTGGGATTTAATAGTCTGTCTCCACTCCTCACCCTGTACGGGGTAACGGATGGCAAAGAGTGGATGTGGTACAAAGGTTACACATTCAGTGATATTTTTTTTTCTGCCTTATTGGTAAAAATGGGGAGGTGGGGTGGGAGGATTTCCTTTAATTATGAACTAAGTGTGATGCTAGTAGTTATTTCTGTAAACTGGTAAAATACTGCATATTTAGGGACTAATTTTTAGCATATGTCACCATCTGTGTAGTAAGAGGATGACCTGTACTTTCAGAATCTTCTGGCTTTGAGGGAGCCAGAGATTTTAACTAGTTGCTGTAGAAACCTGGTTATCCAGATGCTTCTCGAGAATGTATTTATTATTTTTTAAGCCTTGGTGGATAAGCCACAGACTGCAGCAGTTGGACAAGGTCACATATTGGTGGAAGCGACATGGCTTTCCCCTTTCCATTGTGTGATCGTCCAGGGTCTGGGGGCATTAATATGCAACGGTTCTGTTTTTCTTTCAGAAGGACTTGTAAACTCTTTAAACAGAGGCACACAGTTTGCAATTGTTGCTGTACTGAGTGGGTGTATAGAAGCCAGGGCTGCAGCCTTGTCCAGTTGCAGATAGAATAAAACTGACAATGATGCAATGGGCCTGGCATGTAGACAACTCTGTGGGATGGATGAATGGTGCGCTCTCCCCGTCCCTCCGGTGGTGGTAGGCCCTATAATAGCTAGCGTAGGAAGGGTGGTGAAAATTGATATGCACTATTACTACATGTATAAAACTTAACACTGGGGCCATTGCACAGGTGGGGGGTTCCTGTTTATTGATTTTTATGACTTTGTTAGAACATACACTTAATGCTTTTATACTCCAAGAGCTCTGGGAGGGCTCACCTTAGGTAATAAACCTTTCCATACTTTGCAGTCGCTCACAATTTACATGGGGACTCACATTATCCAGTACAAAGCTCAGCGTCCCCCTTCTACTTGGTTTTAGGAGTGCCATAAAAAAAGCAAAGAAAATAACTATAGCACTTACTTTGTATTTTTTTTAAAAAAACCTGTCCACTCCTACTATGAAAATGGCCCCTAATTCTAATTACTCATATTTCCAAGAAAAATTAGTCACACAAACTTATGTTATGTGTTGTCTCAGAGGTTGAAAGCAAATTAGGTTTCCAATAAGACAGTACATCAAACAAAGTAGCATGTTCTTGATGCGATGACTTTTTTTTAGAATTATGGTTGGACATTTTTGGCAGACAGATTGTCTTTTGCTCTATCAAAATGACAGTTTCTTTTGTAACTGCAACATTCATAATTAGAAGGAGAGAAGCAATCTGCCCAATTTAATACACTAAAAGAAGTTTAGAGCCTCTGCTAGTAATTTCATTATTTTAAAATTTGAATTAATTGACTTAAAATAATATAGTTAAGAAGTATATCCAGCACAATTACAGAAAGGTTTCTTTTCCTTAAAAGAAAGGTTTCTTTTTCCTTAAAACCCAGTGCTCTAAATCTTATACTTCAGATGAGATTAGATTTTCTTTTTATGCCAGGTGCCCTGTTCTGAGATTCAGAACAGGAATGTGAATATTCATCCTTGCAGCAGAGCTGAGAGAAGTTGTAGGGCAAACCCTGGGAACAAGGTCACTTTAAACAAAAAAGTTCTCCAAGTTTCCCATGCTTATGAGGCTGGCTGGGCTTAATTAAAGTCAATGGATGACCAAAAAAAAAAAAAAAAAAAAAAAAAAGGAAAAGAAAAGAAAAGAAAGTGAAAGAACAACTACCCACTCCACTTCAAGTCTTTCTAGGCCTCTGTTCACATTCCATACCTTAGCTGTCAACGTTCAGGCTCTCTACAGACATCAAAAATACTCTTTCTTAAATCCCTTACAGCACTGATGTGTCCACCATTAAACATCTCTCTCCCCATTTCACATCTCCAGCCAACCTCACTTAGTGACTGTCACCCACACCACCACAACAAAAACAGAGCCTGCATCACATTCAGAATGAAATCATCACAGTACAGCGACCTTGTTCTGGACACACCATGTTGGTTTCAACAACCCTCTTTTATGCAGTCTTGGCCAAGCTAAGCCTTTCCTGTTGGCTCAGATGGTAACCTCTCTTCCTATTTTCTGCAGAACCTCTCTTTACGGGTCCAGTGTGTTGCATGCTCTTGGTGCACAGAGCCAAAAGTTTTGGAGTATTAAAAACCATGAATATTAAACACCTGTGTTCCTCCTTAAGCGAGTGAAGCCCTCACGCATTTTAATGAATACACACATAGCAAGATTCCTTCTTACCTTCCCTGTGTAATTTTTATCATGCTCCACTTTAAAGGAAACCAACTTTAGTTCTACCTATTACCTTATATTGTACCTTAGTTGATATTCGTGTTTACATGAGGCATCATATCTAGACATGATAAAGATTTAAAAGTAACAGCAGAGTTTTATCTATGAATCTTTGGGAGTTTTTCTCTCCCACAAGAAATTATAACCTTTGGGACTGACAGAGTGGGTCAAGTGGTAGAGCACCTGCCTAGCAAGCACAAGGCCCTGAGATCAATCCCCAGGACTGAAAAAAAAAAAAAGAAAAGAAAAGAAATTAAAACCCAGAGTGGACTAGACATTTTAGGGTATGTTTGTAATATAACAGGGAAAATGCTTAGCCCTCAAAACTTTCTGATTATAAGCAGTGCTCTAAACCTATAGGAGCTGTGTTCCAAGTCCCACACTCTGACAAGTGTATCATTACAGACCTGCAAGTGAGAAGACAAATTTCCCATGACAGTTCTCAAATCTGACATAAAGTAAAAAGGCCATGGACTCAGAGGGCCAGTTATAACCAACACCTACATTCAATTCAAAATCTCCCCCACTATGTTAGTTGCATGTGTCCTTTCTTGAAGTTCTGTGTCCTAAAGAAGTGATGTTTTGTTTCATTCTATTCATGTTAATCTAGTTATATATCAAAAGATACGCACATTTATATAACCCAAGAAGCCAGAGATTAAAGCACAATGTATCTTAGCATAGCTGCCTGTAAGATCTCTGATAGCCATCTTAAGTCTTGGGCTGATGTTGGCTAAAGGGTTATATTAGTCTTTATAGATATTTCTGTTTGTATATTTATATATACATATGCTTGGCTTAGAGCTGTGCTCACACATTATTTTCTATATGTCCTTTTTTTATAAATAGCAAGAAAGCAGACATTTCACTTCATGACTCATTCTGGTCCCTGCCATTCAAAAAATATTGTGGGCTTTCCATTCTAAACTAAATACATAAGAGATTGTGTCTTTTATCAATCCTTTTTTCTTGGTGTCACAAAAATGTGAAGTCTTCTTCCTTTGTCTCAAAAAGGGAAACTGCTGAAAGCATTTCCACCTGG